TTTAGATAAGGGGATATTGTTTGCCCAATTTGTTTCAGTGTTTTAAAACATCCAAGAGAACTGGAGGGTGGGTTGGGCATGGAGCAAGAGTGTACTGAAAAGTAGAAGATTGGATAAAGAGATGATCTTATTTGAAGTTCTCTGGAAAGAAAGCTCAGTTAATAAGAAAGAAAACTAACAATAAAGGTAGTCCAGAAATGATTTGGAATTAAAAAAAAATCAAAATTAAATGGATACTTGGGAACTTAGTAAGACATTCCAGTGAGGAGTTCAAAGCAAAGCAGGTAGCAAAATGGTTGACAGCAATGTGCTGAGAGGTAGGAAAAGTGGCCACCAACTGGGAACTGGAATCCAGTAAGGGCTGATTATTTTGCAAGTAACTCTGGGGGAAGGAATTGAGGCCGACCTGACAAATGTTCTGATTCTACAAATCTTAGAGTGATGACTAAATATATTTGACAGAATCATGGTGTCTAACTGATGGTATTTCTTAGCATAAGGGTCTAAGCCCAAGCATGTGCTTGCAGTGGTTTAAATGTAATATAATCTGCTTTTTTTTAAAAAAAATGGCCTGGCTATAAGATTTGATTCACCTTTAAAATCCTAGAATTTCTCAGGATAAATGTGGAAAATGTGTACTATTGCTATTAAAATGGTATTTTAGAAGTAGAACACTTTATCTAATTAGCATTAGTAATGGCTCTGAGCAATTGATCCAAGTATAAAAAAAGATAAATTCAATAACAAATTAAGATGATCACAAGCAAGGGGACCCAGAGTGTTGAGAATGTGGGTAGTACTTAGAGCTACAGTGAGGTATTCTCTGAGAACTTGGATACAAGATTTCTCTTTGAGAATTGTTCTGGAATATTAGTTTAAGATGTGTTAAATTAATTTATGCTGTGGAATATATTTTTTATGATGCAAAGATGTGTTGCATTCTTTTAAGTTGCATTTGTTTAACTCTGTAAATCTGTGTTACTTTGCCTGTCTAAAACAACCGATTGGTCTAATAAAGAGCTGAATGGCCAATAGCTAGGCAGGTGAGAGGGATAGGTGGGGCTGCCAGGCAGAGAGAATAAATAAAAGGAGAAATCCAGGAAGAATGAGAGGATTGAGGATTGAGAGAAATAGGAGAAAGAGAGCACCAGGTGCCAGTCAAACAGCCACACAGCCAGTCATGGAGTAAGAAAGAAAGAAAGACATATAGACTAAAGAAAAGTAAAAAGCCAAGGCAAAACATAGTTAAAGAGAAACGAGACAGTTCAAGTTGGAAAAGCTGGCTAGAAGCAAGCCAAACTAAGGCTGGGCATACATAAGTAAGAATAAGTTTCCCTGTATTTATTTGGGAGTTTAAAAAACAAACAAACAAACAAACAAAAACTAGGGAATGAAATCAATGAAGTCTACTTGTATGAACTGAACAGGATTATCCAGCTCAGGGGCCTCAATAGAGACACAGTGTATAAGAGACTATACAGGTGAGTTGGATGTTGTTCAGGAAATGAGGCTTGAATAGGATAGCAATAGGGGATGATGGAATACAATCAATAACAATATTCCCTCTCTAAAAGTCAGAACAGAGACTTGGGCAGAGCAACATGAGACACAGAATTATGACACATATGTTACCATTTTCATTATAAACAGATAAGCTGTTGTCATTTATATCAATGTTGTATTTAGATAGCAGAATTTATATAGCTTTCCCCACATACTGACAAGTTGCGTTTTGCTGGCCATAGAGTTAAAGGGTTCATGTTGGATGCCAGGAGGTACAACCTTTCCCTGACATAGACCCCTTCCATATCATGGGAAAACCCACAGATATTAAAAATGTTCAGCTGGAAAGAGAAGGTGACATCTGACAATTGTTGGTCAAAGGTTTGAAGTTTTTCTTGTAGGAATGGAGGCTGGATCTTAATGGCTGAGATAAGAGACTAGAACAAACAATGAGTAAAATGTTTGAATAGCAAGATTTCTTCTGGGTAAAAGGACAAATGTGGTATGTCTTAGTTTCTTCTGTGGATGTGATTAATTTTCTGACAAGAGCAACTTAAGGAAGAACAGATTTATTTGTGTTTACGATTCCAGGATACAGTTTATCATGGCTGAGAAGTTCTGGTACAAGGAACTTGAAGCAGCTTAGCTTAGTTGTGTTCAAAGTTAGGAAGCAGAAAGCAATGAATGCTTGTGCTCTACTAGCTTTCTCCTTTTCACATAGTCCAGAACCCAAGTCCAGGGAAAGGTAACAACATTATTAGGATGGGTCTTTCCCACATCAGTGAATCTAACCAAGGCAATTCCTCACAGACATGCTAAAGATGAACCTAATCTAAATGACTCACAAGTGTGCTTGGAGGTTTGCTCCTAGCTGATTTCACATCCTGTCAAGATGATAAACAATGCTATCACACATTGTAACTTTTAACCTCCAACAGTTGTTGAAAGAGCTGTATCTTTGTCAAGCTTCTTGAATCTTCAGCAACAGTGTAAGTCTAGATAAGCATGAAATGACCTCGCTGCTGCAGCTGGGAGTGGTAATAGATGCTGCCCAGACTTGAAGGCAAGGCAGAAGTTCCTGATCTCAGAAGTAAGAGTAAAACAGATACAGTTTTAAAGAGCATAGAAAGAAAGTACTACCTCTTTGGCTACTAACAGCATTATAAATCACTTGCCGCTGATTTCTTTATCAGAGTTACTGGGAAACTAAATTCTAATTGCTAAGATCAGATGGAGGGTCTTACTCTTTCCCATTCTTCTGTTGATGGTAGAGTAGGAGCCATCCATAGTAGGAGCCTTCCTGAGGCCCCATCAAAGAGCCTTGTGATACAGAGATGACAGTAAACAAAGAGAATTTTAAGAGTAGGGGGAAAATGTCAAAACAGCATTCCCAGATTCACTATTTAGCAATTAGAAGAGGCCATTTGTCTGGAGTCCCAAGGGTACTGGAAACATGTTGGAAAAGGCAGTTCCAAAGGAAACTTCTAGTTCTGTTTTTGAAGAAAAATTGAGAATAAGAATTAATTACTATGATCTAGGGTGATCAGGGAAGGGCCACCAAACTGTAAGAGAGACCTGGGTCATATCATGAGGAATAGAGTTAACACAGCTAATAGGCAAGTCAGCCAAGTCAGCACAACAGACTAATCAAAAAAGGAAAAGGAGTGGCTTGCAACCAGTACCCCAAGCTGGACACTCGTAAATGGTAAGTCACCATGTTTCTTTTGCTCCCTGGGGATAGGTAAAGGAAGTCAATGAGATGGAAGTTAATTAAAAAAAAAAAAGTCATCAACTGTCACCTAGGTGGGATGCTGGTTATAGGATTTAGTTCCAACAGCCCTTGTATGCTGCTAGACTCAAGCAGCACCCTTCCTGAACCAGTGGGGACATATAACAGGACCAGTCCTATAAGTCCTTTATCTGACATCTGTGAGGCAGGTTGAAGGAAACAAAAGAAAGCACAGGGTACTAGTGACCTCTGGTGGAAACAGCACAGGCTTTCGGGACCTTAGTCCGAGGAGGTTTGTTTTTCCAAGGAAGATAAATAGCAATGGCATATTCAGCTGGCTTATTTCTAAGGGAGTGAATGAGGGACCTGATAGAAACAGCACAAAAATACTAACCAGAAAGTGAAAATGAACTTTATGTTTTCAGTCAGAATAGTTGATTAATGGTCTGGGAAAAAATATGAACTATCAAAGAAGAATGTTAAGGCAATGGCCTCATTGGTCAGTATGGGAATTGAAACACTGAATGTGAAGAACAGGGGCTGGAGAGATCGCTCAATGGTTAAGCGCACTTGTCTGCTCTTCCAGAGGTCCTGAGTTCAATTCCTAACAAGACATGATGGCTCGAAACCATCTGTAACTGGATCAGATTCCTTCTCCTGGTGTGCATGAACACAGAGCACTTATACACACACACACACACACACACACACACACACACACACACACACACACACACAAAATGAATAAACAACTCTTTTTTAAAAAAAGTGAAGGGCAAATGAACATGATGAAAGGTATACGGAGAAAGCCTCATGGCTTGCCCATTCTCCTTTTAAAAGTCTTATGGAAGAGGCTGTTACATGTCAATGTGCAGAGCCCCACAACTTTCCCCTCCCAGATGGCGCCTATACTAAGTGTGGACAATCCCCATTGAGTTGTGAGGATGTGGGTGTGACAGGTGCTTAGTGCTTGAGGTCTTTGAAGTAGGACTAATCTCAAAGAAGGTCCGAGTCCAACCAAGAAGGTCAACATCATACCACACTGGGTACTGCATGTATCTCCGCTTTGGGGTGTGTTTTCAGAACATATCATTTTGACATAGAGACAAAACAAAGGAAGGGGAGGCTTGATTGGGATCTTAAAGGTATACGCTCATATTTGGGACTAATCATGGGGCTGAATTAAATGGAGACTGGAGGGTAGAAAATGAAGCAAAGAAAGGACTTTTTTTTTTTTTTTTTTTTTTTTTTTTTTTTTTACAGAGAACGAGGCAATGCATAAGTAAACAGAATCAGCGTCATCAAGCCCTGGGCAACTGTCATTTCTGGCAGCAGCGCTCTGGCAGTCCGTGTCTCACATTACCAGTGTGCCAGAGGTGTCACCTGCCTTCTTTCATTATTCAGCTGCCACCACACACCCACCCTGCCTTGTTTGCTGATGTAGTTGTGCAGCTTGGCAGGTCTGCTTTTCTTAAATTTGTTACACCCCTCTTCTCCATGACATTTCAAGGATGTAAAAATAGCCCCTAAAGAATCCATTTGTGAGAATCCCACTGTAGTTTGCGATTTCTAGCATTCAGGTCCCTGTGAGTGGGCAAAAGCTGGCCTAAGATAATGGCTTGTACAGTGTTATTTTTCTAAGATACCAATTAAACCACGTATTACACATATCACTGGCCTTCCCCCTTTCCCTTTGCTGGAAGGCATTTAGTCTTTCACTCTGAGATTGGCCACTTGAGAGGTCTATTCTACAAATCAATTTACTTACCAAAGATGAGCTAATGACTTTAATCTGCTCCAATGCTTCCGTCAGGCTGTCTTCAATTTCAGCATCATCTAAAGAGAAGAGGTCCCCGGCTCTTGAAAGATCTTTTTGCCCCAAAACCAATCTGAAAAGTTGATGCATTGTGAATTGGATCAGTTGGCTTTCTGTGAACCCACAGCCATGCTCAGCTATCCAGGTTTAAAGAGAGGAAATCGTGTAGCAATAGCTACCCTTCATATTCCAGGAAGGGCCGTATTCTTCAGACTTTGGGGTCTCCTTTGGCAATCTCTGTAACAGAAACAAATGACATAATGTGGACAGTGGCAGAATGGCAGATGGCATGAGCTCAGAATGTGACCTTGATAGCCGTGTGTGTGTGTGTGTGTGTGTGTGTGTGTGTGTGTGTGTGTGGTCGGGGCAAGGAGAGGGAAAGAGAGAGAGACATAGGAAGAAAGGGGGAGGAAGTTGGAGAGGGAAGCAGGGGTGGAGAACTGGAAACCCCACATAGAGTAATTAACTCTTGTTTGGTAGTATTTGAATGAGCTCTTTCTTCTTCTTTTTTTTAATCTCAGAAAATTCTTTCTTTCAGAAAACATCATTTAATTTGAAGCTTTGGAAGAGCAACATAAGACTCACACTTTATCCTGATATGTCTTTTCTGCAGCCTTGCCCCCCCACCCCCAGCCTTTCTCCAAGAAGTGAAATACCCACAAGCAAGTCCAGTGCTTGCTTGTTCTCTGCAAGCAGAGCCCAGGGCACTCAAGCACAGTGGAGGATGATGGGGAAAGGAGCGCATAGGAAACACCACTTAGACCCACTGCTTGCAGCCCATTCCTCCGGAACCTGACACAGAAACCAGTTTACCCTCTTGGCGGCAGGTTCCAGCTATGACAACTGAAATTCCTCTTTCCTTCAGTTTAAAAGTTATCTCCTCACTTTAATCCTGTGCACTCTTTAATCAAACAGCAATGAGATAAAGGGCTTTGGCTCAGTATGTGGGTGAGGGAGATCTCTATTGAAACTGAACTTAAGTGCTGACATTGAACATGATAGTATTGCAGGGCAGGTTCAACAGGAAGGTCTTTAGGATCAGGTATCTTCCCTCTGTTACTCAGCTGGAATAATACAATTTCATTTCACTTCTCCACACTGTAACAGTCCACAGAGATTAGAGCAAGGGGACAAGTTGGGTACTGGTTATTCTCTTTAGTTCCCTTCTGGAGTTAATGAAGTTACAGATCATTTGCATTGGTACATACTTCATTGTCTTTGGTGGCCAGGGATGTTCCTTAGTAGTTGTTGTGGGGCTAATCTCCTGCTTTGGGGTGAGCAGATTTTCCAGCACAGTTTATAGTGAAGTGTAATCTCTTCATTCATGCAAGAAATTTATAAATGCAGCTACATCCTTAGAGAGTAAGAGCCCAGAGTGAGTTACTTAACAAGAGCAGTGGATGACTCTGGCTTTTATTTCAGGTGAAGGAGAGTGAGAAGAAAGAGGACTCTGTGGTCTGGTCCCTTGGCTACTCTCAGATCTCCCCTGGGAGCTACTGCTGTGAGAACACCTCTCTATGCTGTGTGCAGTTTTAAGTTCAAGATACTTATTCTGTTTACTGTGGTATCTAGACACAAGCCAAATCTTTCATGTGATATTCAAGTCAATATATCTGTGTTATTTCAATTATTCATGGGCCATTTTTAGGGATTTCAACGGCATTATTATCTGCTGATGTACAATTTTTATACTATCTTCCAGCTTTAGATGAAAGATAAAGTTCACTCTGGTCAAGGAAACAGGAAGGCTAACATACCAGATCTTCACCTCTCCATCAGCTACTCCAAATCCAATTCCCCAGTCTCATCCTGAGCGCTACAGCATATAGCAAACCACCTGCTAGGAGCCCCTCCCCCAGGAGCTTTCAACTCCAGTAGAGTACACAGATGTTGCTTTCCTAAATCTTTGCTTTCTCACACTCCAGCTTCTCCAGCCAGGGAAACAGGTGGGGTTAAGGTAGATCTTCACCTCTCCTCCTGTTCTTTCAAGTCCAGTCCCCCAGCCTCGTTCCCAGCTCTGCAACAGAATATTTGCTGCAGACTCCCTTCCCCCTTTGCCCCCATATCCATCAGATCTCATATATCTTTCCCTTCTAACTCCCTCCACAAACTATTTGCTTTGTTCTAGCCACCCCCCACCCCTCCACCCCCCACCCCCGTCTCCAGTAGGAACTCCTGGGAACCCACAGACAATCTGACTAAGCAAGCAAGTAGTCATCTCTCCCTCCATTTCTCCTCATCCAATCCACCAGTCTTACCCCTAGCTCTATAGTAGACCTTCTGCTGTGGGTCTTCCTCACTCTCTGGCCCCATTCCCAGGGGACTAACTAAACAGATCCTGGTGGAACACCTTGCTTTTACTCCTCCTGTGAATACTCTCAGCCCAGCCCAACCCACTCCATTTTGAAGTGTCATCTTCAGAAACACATTTTACCTAGAACTCCCAGGACCCACACTTATCAGAACCACAGAAGAATTCTACCAGACACTACACAACCACAACAATCTCCTAAGAACCTTATAGGAAACAAGCCAAGGAACAAAACATCCCACCTACGAAGACAAGACCAGACATCAACACCTATAATTATAATCTTCCTAACCATAGTGGGAAGATCTACTTCTAATCTGGATCTTTGAGATGGGAAGGCACACCTTTAATCCAGATATTTTGAGGTGGGAAGACTCACCTCTAATCATCTAATTTTCACCTTCTGCTGGAAGCCTATATAAAGACATGGAAGAAGGAAGCCTAGCTCTTGGCCTGCTTGTTCTTGCTCTCACTAGCAAGTCTGTTCTGTCACTGGCATTACAGCCTGCTTTTCCAGGATTCAAGCATATACTGAAGACCAGCTTACATATACTGAAGACATCCAGTTTAGTGGAGTGAACAATTACTGGATTCTTGGACTTTCTGTTCATAGGCAGCCATTGCTGTATTAGCTGGACCACAGCCTGTAAGTCATTCCAACAAATCCCATCTCCCATCTCTCTCTCTCTCTCTCTCTCTCTCTCTCTCTCTCTCTCTCTCTCTCTGTGTGTGTGTGTGTGTGTATAGATTCATTCTATAAGATCTGTTTCCCTAGAGAATCCTGACTAATTCAAACACCTATGCCCCAAACACAAGGGTACCCAAGCTTGTAAAAGAAAAACTAGAACAGCTTAAATCACATATTGACCCTTACACATTGATAGTGGGAGACTTCAGTATCCCACTCTTGCCAACAGACAGATCATCCAGACAAAAACTAAACAGAAAAATGTTGGAACTAACTGATGTTATAAACAAAATGGACCCAACAGACAATTGCAGAACATTTCTTTCAAACGTAAGAGAATATAACCTCTTCTTAACACCTTATATAATTTTCTCCAAAATTGACCATATACTTGGACACAAAATCCAAGTCTCAACAAATATAAGAAAACTGGAAATAACTCTCTATATCCTAGCAGACCACCATGGACATAAGCTGGATATCAACAGCACAAAGATTACAAACTGAACAACTTTCTACAGAATAAAAAATTGGTCAAGACAGAAATCAAAGACTCCTTTGAATTGAATAAAAATGAATAGATATCATACCCAAACTTATGGGACACAATGAAAGCAGTGCTAAGAGGAAAGATCACAGCACTAAGTGCCTACAAAGAAAAAAAAAGGCGAGATTTCATACTAGCAACTTAATAGCATACCTGAAAGCTCTAGAACAAAAAGAAAGAAAGAAACAAAGAAAGAAACCACATCCAAGAGGAGTAGTTGGTAAAAATTAATCGAATTCAGGGATGAAATCAGTAAAACAAAAACAAGAACAACAACAACAACAAAACAACATAAATAATCAGTGAAATAAAAAATTGGTTGTTGAGAAAGATCAGTAAGATTAACAAATCCTTTTCAAAATAACTTAAAGGCAGAACAAGAACATCCAAATTAAACAAAACCAGAAATGAAAAGGGAAGCATAAGAACAGACACTGAGGAAATCCAGAGAGTCATAAGGGCATACTTAAAAACAACCAAAAACTAACAAACAAATGAAAAAAAAAGAAAGCCTATACTCTACCAAACTGGAAAACCTAGAAGAAATGGATAGTTTTTTCAATATATATCACTCAAGAAAGTTAAATCAAGATCAGATAAGCAATTTAAACAAATCTATTACTCCCAAATAAAATAAAGGCAATCATTAAAAGTTTCCCAACCAAAACAAAACATAAAAGCCCAGGTCCATATAATTTTAGTGCAGAATTCCACAGAGTTTCAAAGAAGACTTAATGCCAATACTCTTCAATTCACTCCACAAAATAAAAACAGAATGAGCATTGCCCAATTCTTTTTATGAGGCCACAGTTACCCTGATACCAAAACTGCATAAAGACCTAACAAAAAAGGAGAATTATAGACCTATTTCCCCTAGGAACATAGACGCAAAAATACTCAATAAAATACTTACAAATCTAACACAATAACACATCAAAAGATCATCCACAATGATCAAGCAGGTTTTATCCAACAGATGCAGGGATGGTTCAACATATGTAAATTGATAAATGTAATATACCATATAAACAAACTGAAAGACAAAAATCACATGATCATCTCAATTGAAGCAGAAAAGACCTTTGACAAAATTCCAATGCCCCTTCATGAAAGAAGCCCTGGAGAGATCAAGGATACAAGGGATATGCCTCAACATAATAAGGCAGTTTACATCAGGCTTACAATCAACCTCAAATTAAATGGAGAGAAAAAGCAATTTCACTAAAATCAAGAACAAGACATGTTTGTCCACTCTTTTCATATCTACTTAATATAGTACTTGAAGTCTGAGCTGGAGCAAATAAGACAACACAAGGATAACAGAGGTCTATAAATTGGAAAGGAAGACATCAAAGTACTTTTAAGTGCACATGATATGATAGTATATGTAAGTGACCCTAAAAATTCTACCAGGGAACTCCTATAGCTGACAAGCACTTTCAGCACAGTAACTACATACAAAATTAAATCATGAGAATAAGTAGCCTACCCTCCATATAAAAATAACAAATGGACTGAGAAAGAAATAAGGTAAACAACGTTTTTCATAATGGCCTCAAAAAATATAAACTATTTTGGGGAAACTCTAACCAAGGAAGTGAAAGACTTGT